TGAAGTTTTTGATCGCAACATCGAAGATGAGCCACCTCTTTCTTCCATCTGTAACATCATCGGGGCATCCCTGGAGACCACCGCTGCACGAAACTGGAGTAACTGGCACACTGCCCTCAATTTAATGGAACTGCCATGAACTGAACTGTACGCATCCCTATAGACAAGGCTGGTCCACGTCAGTCGCCGTTTGGCCTCAGTGTTTTGGATGCACAATAGATCTCCAGTTCAGTTCAGCTTAGTTCACTTCAGTTCCAGGACATTGACTGTAAAGTGCCAGTGGGCTACTGTTCAGATGTCCCAGTTTTTGTTTAACTCTCGTACCCAACACTGTTCAGTTTCTCATCCAACCCGCAACATTCCCTCAGGCAGCTTGTTCATCAGTCGCTAAAGGTCGGTACCAAGTAGCGCTGTAAATAGTTTGTCTTCAAATAAAGTGCAGATTTAAAAGCCTCGTCAACCTATCAACCTAAGGTCCTTCAAGGTGAGGGCTCTTATGCAAACGGGTCAACAATCGTATCCTGCATGTACAAAGATTTTAGAAATTGATATCTGTTGCGTATCGGGCACACGCATTCAAGGCTCTACAATCTGACCCAGGTTAGATGGGGTGAGCGGGTTAGTAACTTAGGAATAAGTCGTCAGGTGTTTGGGAATACAAGAACTCGCTATCTCATAAAATTCAACTCAATGGGCTCCGTTGGTTAGGTCACGTTTTGCGTATGTTCGACGGTCGCCTACCGCAGCGCGCTTTGTTCGCAGTGGCTGCTACAGGCTGTTACAGACCAGCAGATGACGCGGAGACGAGGAAGAAAGTAATGCACAAAGCGACTAGGTAGCGCAGTTTTCTCTCATCTTCTCTGATGGGGTTCAAAAGACTCCGAAGCCGCATGGTTGGAGACACTGTGGGTCATGGCTGCGAACCGCCAGCAATGGCGATCTTGCTGTCACTTCTTATCAGACGAGAATGCTTGAAGTAGTATGTATGCACAGTTTGACTGTGTACTCTTTGTGTTGACCATAGAGGTTCGCTTTTTTCCCCGTCCCTAAAAATAGGTTCAATCCCTTT